GCACAGTTTGCATACTTATACCCATCCATATTTTAATCGGTTAATCCTGTCAATGGTACTCCGGTGTTTGATTTTCCGAGGGAACGGCGCTCTTGGATAACCTACTTTAGGGTTCGCGAAAAAATCGGTCACTAAGAAAGTTTCAAGGTTGCATTAGGAAAATTGCATTTGACCGATGAAGCAAAGAGCTCGATAATGACAGTGAAACTCAGCCAATATACTCGTCAATAGTGAGCTTTGACTGAAGCTGTCAGATCATCCTGTTGTAAGTCTGTTTGTCACCGGTCACAGGTTGCAAAAACATATGCGCTTGGTCGTTACTACAGGTATATCATCCCAGAAAAATGACGATTATATAAAAATGTTACCGTCGGCTTTGTTCCGGACAAAATGTGATTCGGTTGTTCAGTCTTTCAAAAATACACGGAATGTTCCACAAAATGAATAATGTAAAACCCGAGTATTATCATCCTACGTAATATCCGTACGTAATAACCACACCGAAGTAAACCGAGCACTGATGAGGAATAAACCAAATTGTGTGCCACTAACGGTTCTTACAGGCGACCAACGTGCTGCGGTCACAGAATTAGAAAGTTCGACTTCAAAACCGCATGCTCCAATCGACCTGCGGTTCACCATGACCGCCAGCGCATTACTCAATACGATCCGAATAATTTTACAGCCAAATGAACTGATACCGTCCAAAAGGCATCTGTTGTACGCTCCCACATTAGGAGCAAGACATTTGTGTGATTAAATGGCATTCAAACAGGTTAGATTTGAACAGACCAACTACCACCAACGGGGTGAAGTCTTCCTTAAAATATTCCCGAATCCTTCCAAACTGCCAACAGATGATGAGTAGCTCAGAAGGAAAAATAATTTGCATGAAAACTGAACCTTCAATCGGATAAGTTGTCGTCCAAAACGTCTGTCAACGCGTGAGTTATGTAAGTGCACAATGCTTGTCGTTCTGCCTAAACGCATTTTAGTAACACCGATGATCAGCCGCTCGTGGTCTAAAAGGTCAGCCTCCAACAAGAAGCCGGGAGTTTGAGAGTTCGAATCTTCCAGGAGATTCTAGGAGACGGACTTCTGTTGATACCCAAAAGAAATGAACTAATTCTACAGTGTTTTTGCCATAGGCTGATTTCACTTACTCGACAGAACAACTACCGAAAAACTTCAACAGCTTTTCAAAACACCAAAAGAATAAAGATTGTTTGATGTTTTGGATGAAATCGCGGACAAATGAGAGGCGCACAAAGAGGTGCCTACCCCAAGACGCACCCAAATACCTATGGACCAGGATCAAGCAACGCTACATGCGTGAGCTTTTTGTCATCATTCATCATCGGAGAATGGAGACAAATGCGCTTGATGTAGAACATAAGGTTGACGGAACCTTGGAGACTGCGCCTATCTGATGAGTCCCAAGAAGGCCTAAACCGGTCGCGAGCTGTCGAAGAACTCCCAGCAACCTCAAGATTGATGCATTACGAATATACATGTATCGCGATATCTCGAATATCGTAGCGACTGAAACATGAGGCGGCCTGGTGCAGCACATTCAGTTGCCTGAAAACATCTAAAACGAGGTTTCCAGCTGGGTTTCAGGTAAGTCTCTTGCAAAATAATTTTTTTCTAATGTATGTATTGCCCTCCTACTTTTTCGTCTGTCCCGAAGTATCAACCAAAGCTTCATAATCTAGTCACATGTCTCTCTGTGACCGCAAGCGCATCGGTGCTCAACTGATCGTCTTGTCGAGTAAAATCTGCATCAGTATATATATATATATATATATATATATATATAATGGTCAGAGCAAAACGGTTGCAAGTAATGATTTTGATATAATCTTATCAGGTTAGCACATTTGTGAGTGGTTTAAAAAGTTAACGGGACGTTAACTGAGTAGTGGTTACACGCTCGCCTCTCATGTCAGATGTCTGGGGTTCAAATCCCGTCACGGCCATTGGATATGCACTGCTGATGACCTCTTACAAGAGCGAGACTCGAGTCCAGTGCTTCCCTTTGGTGTGGACTCACCGGAATTATTACGCCAGAACAGGAACACGGCCGTTCAAACGAGAGTGGTGTGGCTATGAATAATTGAGGTATCGTTTGTCAAAAATGGCCCTCAGACGAGTTTGATTTCCTCTCGTGGCGGAGATGGTTGGTTAAAAAACCATTCGGTGTCTTCATGTGAATTTTAGTGATATTGTTGGTTGACCCGAATACCTGCAATTGCCTATGCTGTTTTCAGCGATTGATTGGACGGTACTCGACATATCCCACCAAACGATCTATTTGGATTTACCTGGTAGTTCTTATGGATTATATGGTCAACTATTGGCTTTAAAAACTTGGAATTCAGAACGTTACGTGCTCGGCCGATCTCCGGTAGAGAGCAGTAGCATGCAACCAACATACTTGGAAGAACATTCTCAAATAAAGGGAGAGGTTATCGGTCGAGAATCATGGATTGACAACCTGGTCTTCTGGTATACGTTGAGCGAGTGGTCACTAGAGTGGTAGAATGTCAGTTAGTGCTACAATGAAAGCTTTACGGATAGATAGAGTCACAGTTTCAGAAACTCTGTCATCGATAAATGTTAACTGTATGAAGTTCCGAGTTCTGGCCCGGTTGGTCCAAGGTGAAACACAAAAGCTCTCTGTGTAGTCAGGAAACCTTGGTTTTTCAGACGTGGTACGCTAAGCAAACCATCGTAAACAGAAGATTATTCCGGATTCGGGTGCCTTCTCTGTCAGCCCCGAATTCGTGTGCAGTCGAGAGTATTCGTCGACATCTAATTTTTGTTCAGGAAACATTGATCCCACCTAACGAAAATCCAGTGAACTGCCAACTACCAAGTGCAAAATCAAACGAAAACAATGTCAAGAACAAGGCTATCGGACGCACGGCTGCAGGGTGAGGATAATGATGTTCAAAGTCTTCAACATTTTTAGTTTTCAGACTTCTTGCAGAATAACATCAAGATGGTTTCTGTGTGTCCGAGTTTCAGAGAACACTATAAACACCCAATTTTTTCAAGTATATAAATGTCACATGTGGGTGTATACTGGTGCGAATTTTGAGATCGCCATTTTGTAGGTAAAGCATTTTAGATGCTAGTTGGCGAGAGTTGATTTGAACACTCCTCAGTCTTGTCGATTTTTCATGGTACGCTAAGATGGACAAAGATTTGACAGTCACCAGAGCCAAAACACACAATCCAAAGATTACTCATTTAATGGACGTAATACACTACTCACAAGGTTCCTGAAAATTCTTCGACAGCCGACGACCGGTTTCGCCCTTCTTGTAGCTCATCAGGCAGGCGCAGTTACCGAATTTCCGCCCACCTTATGTTCTACTTGAGCCCAAACACTCATTTGCAAACAAAATTCCATTTTATGGGATGCTCACCTGGAACCCCGCTGAATCCCTCGCTTGTTGCTGTTTCTAAGCTGGGTTTCAGCTGAGTTCCAGGTGAGTGTCTCACAAAACCAAATGAGTGCATTTCGCTTATTTTTCAGTTAAGTTAGTGCGCCTTCGAATCTGAGAGTTTCTGATTTCACTGTTCAAGAAAACTAGGAATCAATGAAAAATTTATTGCTAGCTTGAATTTTCAAACGGCAAGATCGACACAAGATGGCAACTCGGGCTCTTCTTTGTGGGGAGCACACGGTTATATAAGAAGCATTTTCTCGACCACGTTCAACAAATCTTCAAAATCGCAGAAGACATGATATTTCGTTGAAACTACTACATCAAAAGACTAAATTGTTTACTCAAGATGGCGAACGCACTATTTTACACAGTACTGGTTGACATGTCGGAGGTGACTGTACTTTAAAACTACTGATAAAGTCATACGCTACTTCCAAAGTGTACGAGAGGAGACTGACAGCACGTTCGGTTTACTCAAGGTTTTCGGAATATTGGAAATGCTTGAATAGAAATTGAAATCGATTCCAAAATTTTCGAGTCAATAATAGTAAGGGTACTATTTTCTCCCTGAATTTGTTTGCTCCACTGAAAATGAATGAGAATAAATGAAGCCTTGGGAACCGGTTGTGCAAACTTGATAGACGGATCCCTGAAAAGACCCCTTACACATAAGCGTCCAGAAAGACAGTGTGCAGAAATTGTGAGAGGTAGCTAAGTGTGTCAGACTAAAACTACCGTAAAAATTTCCCCAGTTCATCAGTTCTATAGTCAGGTCACTCACACTAACCGAAAAACCACTTAACCGGTTATTAGAGCTGAATAAGGTTTTGGGATGATAGAATCAACCTACAATCTAACGTAGGTGATCTGAAGTAGCCTTTGCGTTCAAAGCGTAACTAGCTTCACCAGTGAATCTGCTTAATTCCTACCGAACCTTTCTAAAGCCAAAATAGTATTGATATAATACAGTAAAGCTCATCAGTTAGTTGCACTCCGGGAATTTCTGTCAACCTTGTGTCCTGTTTAGATCCACATGGCACGAAATTCACCCTAAGAAGGCTGAAACCAGTCATGAGATATCGAAGAGTTTTCAGCAACCGTACGAGTAGTGTACCACGTCCGTAGGATTCATTGTGATATCCCGAATATCGTACCCATTGCAACATGATGCGGCCTGGTGCAGCAAATTCATTTGAAGAAAGCCACCATAAAGAAGAGGCTCAGTTGCGTTACGGGTGAGTGTCTTGTCAGAACCAAATCGGTATGCAGATGAGTGTGTAAATAAAAAAAGTAAAATGCTTACAAACGACAAGTTGGTTCCCGCAAGCCCGCTACTCAGATCACTTTGCTTAGTATATAGCCTTTGGTTTCGTACGAAAGGGAACACGAAAGCTGTGTTCCCCCTTAAATCGGTGGCTCTGATTAAGTGTTTCAGTTGCTCAGTGAATCACAACAACACCAAGAATTGCGCGCACGCAGTATGTGCATGCACGTGTCCCACAAATAAACGAACACAGAAGAACAAAAAACGCTTGTTTGAAGTGGATCGTGGGCACTTTTTGGACAATTTATAAAATAACTCTTGATCTGTCTCACTCCAAATGCTTTGGACAGTAAACAAGTGAACAGAACTGAGCATGTGGACAGACAAAACAATGAAGAGAAAGCGAAAAATTGGCGGCGAAACGAAACCCATCAATGGAAGGCGCGGAGAAGGGGAAAGCGACTTAGACAAATAGAACCTGAACCGGTGAGTGGCACTTTGGATGCAGCCTGATGGATTTGGCGTCCTTCAACGCGTCTTTGAACGAGGCGTCCGTCATCCGGGTGAATAAGTAAGAGCAGAATAGTCAATCACTAAAGGTATAAAATATCAAGTTGGTGGGATATATTCAGGAACAAGTAGAGAGAAAGCACAAGAAAACTTCATAAATCTCTGTTGTATCTCGATATTAATAGGGAAAAGTAAGCAGCTTGAAATCAAGACTTCCAAATGACCAGGTTAATCCACACTTCAAGACCCACTTCTAGGTAGAAGAGTCACAGAACACAGTGTCTCTAGATCAAAAACTTTTCATTCACCAAGGTGAAGCTGCTTCAGTCACGTGGCTCCAAAGGGTTTAAAATATGCGCTCGGTATCGTAAGTGAATCCCCAAGTAAGAATCCACGCTGTCTTTACAAACCTTGTCAGAGAAATTGAATAAACTCTAGTTTTTTCATAAACAATTCAACGAGTGCGCTGTGAGGCAATGCGTTAAAACAAAACAGCGGTCTATTCAAATTATGATAAGTAGACCCATGAAAAATTGAGACAAAATACATTTTCTGCTTTATCTCACTCAAAATATTTGTTCTTTAAAGGGTGTGATGTTGTCAGTCTCATTAGGCGATACAAGTTACACAATATAGAGCCGTAGAAAGACCACTTTCTACTTCATCCAAATTACTAAGATATTTGTTATGCATTATTCATTAGGTTGCTGAAAATCCGTCGACAGCCCATGACTGCTTTCGCCCTTCTTGGAGCTCATCAGGCAGGCGCAGTTACCGAATTTCCGCCCACCTTATGTTCTCCTTGAAACTTGAAAAATTGCATGGGATTAGAGAAATACACTCATTTGCAAACTAATTTGATTTTTTTGAGATATTTCCCCACGTACGAAGGTCCAGCAAATCCGTAAATGGCGTCACTGACTTTTGAGCTGAAGATGTCACAGATGGTAAAACCATAATTGCAGCAATATTTTGTATGTTATCTATTTTTTGGATACTTGTTGTGCTTTGTCTCAAAAAGCGCAGATTTGTTGTAGTTAAAACAAGCAATCTGATCTAACATAAGCAACGGTAGCAATGGGGAAAATACATTTTTTCAAAATTCCCTGCAATCTGCAGTATTCCATCTCGATGTTCAATCATTCAGGATGAGCCATTATGCGAGCACCATATGAATGCAGTGAATGCTTTCCATCACACGCTGAACACCTACTCACACTGCAGATTTTTTGCACTACTTGTGAGTAGTTAAATATCCTCGCGCTTCGGCTCCAGCTGTGATGAGTTCCAGAAACACTGACCTCAAAATTCTAGCATTAAAATCAGGAAATCCAGGGGGAGTGCATGAATATCTGGATCAGAAATTCATTGGTATCATTCGGCTCCGACGATAGCGTTTCTCGACAAACATCATACAGATACTACCCGTGATTTAATACTAACAAACTGGAATGTTCGTGGATGGTAGTTGGCTACCAAAAGCAACAAGTCCACAGTCACACAGGGCTCTTAGTAACATATGACCAAGCAGCAGTTTTAACTTCGTTAATTCAACCAGAATTTAACAAAGGAGTTTTGATCCTAAGTTGAATGAACTTCGGTTAAATTCTTGGACGGCAGGAAAACACCCTTTATCATCTCCAATTTGGTGGCATTTCTACGATGCAAACCTCGCGCCAGGTTTTTGCTAACAGCGCGTAAACAGTGTCTGCAACATGAATGGTTCGATGAGGACTAGTACACTCAGTTTCTGAGAGCTGCCTGGACTATCGAGTGTTGAGTTCATATTTTTTCAGCAATCTCTCCAGGTATTAGCGATGTGAACGGATATGCATCGGTTCGATTAAGTTAGTAAGATAGCTTATAAATAGTGCCGAAAGATTGAAAATTTTGCTGCAACTCACCGCTAGTTTGACCATGAAGGTTACCCATCGGAGAGGCCAATTCCCAGCTAACTATCCGTCCAATGTTCTCTTTGCATGGACAAGAGTTTGTACAAAACATGAACGAACCAGCCATTCTAATATCCAGATGATGTTAGCGCACGACGTACTTGACCCTGGGACCGCACTAAAGAGGACTATGTATTGTGTTTTTCTCCACTCGAAGGTTGAGCAAAGTGTACCGGTGATGTTCCCGTTACCCGTCACAAACAAACGTTATCCAGCTCTAAGTGTGACCACGTGAAGAAAAATGAGACCTACAAACTTCCTGAATTTCGACCTGTATAACATTTGAAACGGTTTGTGAGACGTGGTTTTGGCTAGGGAACACCGTAGTTGATTTACGCGCCAGGTAACATTGTAACCTATGGTACTTGTGACTTACCTTCCGGCCAAGTCATCGGATTTTAGGTCCAACGAAGGATCCGTATCGTCGGTAAGATTAGAATCTGGAATAAATAATGTTGAAAACCCGGTTAAAGAACAGTCAACAGGAGAAGCTGTTGAGCAGTATCACAAGTTGAATGCAAATTTGCTTCTGATACAGGTCACCGTCCCAATATGGAGATAACTCTCCACTTTTCTTTTGTGAAGAAGACAACCAAACTGAGGGTCGCGTCTATCCTGTAAAGTTGCGATTCCTTCCAATTTTCAATTAACCCGACTGGTTTAGCACTTATCCGAACCACAACAGGTTGAATAGGTTCGATCATCTCATGAGAAATGTCTGAAAACGTTGATCTAGACATACAGACCACAGAGAGTACAATATAGTCTTTGTTGAATTAAGTCCCTCATACATATAAGTATGTATCTTTTCGTTGTATAAAACTAGCAGGAAAATGTTCAGTGTTTTTCACTCACTGCCTGTTTGCAATATTTAACAAAATCACGCCAGGTGACCTCGTGAGAAGATGATCATATACGTGTGACTGGCTAGTTAGGATAACCAGCGAACTTCACATCCCCGGGGGCTTTAGGGTTACGACAATTAGAAAGTCAGTTTAGTATCTGTTATACAACTCCCAATATCTAGAGGAAGCTATGTTATTTCTATGTATCCTAGGCTCAACTGAAAAAAATGAGTGGAGTTGTATTTGTTCCCGAAAAATAGGAAAAAGAATTTCGATTGCAGTAAACCATATGATAGCATAGCCAAATGTGCTGTGACCATGAGAACAGCATAACCAAAAGAATGTTTCTCAAACGCATATTGCCCTGACAACCACAGAGGAACTATATAGGAAAATGTTGGTAGCTCAGTTAGCGTAGATGGTGGTCGTTGACTTGTTCGCTGAGCTGGGCAATTTGATTGCAAACGTTTCATCACCAATCGAGGTGACATCATCAGTGCGTTATTGTGGAGCGTAGTAGTGCGTAGCGCTAAGCACTCCTATGCTCCACAATAACGCACTGATGATGTCACCGTGATTAGTGATGAAACGTTTGCAATCAAATTGCCCAGCTCAGCGAACAAGCCAACGACCAACAAAGGAACTGCTAATCGGGTTGTGTTAAGACACATGAATTTCGGCGGCCGTTGACACAAACATGCTGGAATGGCAAATACTTTTCTGTGTTTGTGTATAGGTATAGTTGAATCGAGTCAGATCCTAGTTCAACATTACGGGTGGTCCCACGATGTCGAATTTGAGTAAGTTCGTGCGAGCTTACTGCAGGGGTATACAGAGAATGCATACCGGGAGAGTCAAGGCATGACAGGATTCACCAAGGTTAGCGAACACCATCCACCTTCAGTAGTCTTCTGCTTTGCAGAGGGCAACTGACCGGTTTGTTCGAAAGTGGTTACTGAAGTCTTGGTAGAATTACTACTATCGATTAGCCAGAAAATTTGAGTGTCTTTCAGATGATTTGGATCAGTGAAGTTTCTTACCAAAATTATGTTAGGCGCGGGAGAGAGAGAGAGTATCTCGCCCTGAACAGTAATTCAAAACATTTGAATGCCAAGAGTAAATTGGTGATGAAATTACAACGGCATTTTATCGCATTCCAATAGACCTCTGCTCTAGAAACAAGCAGATAGTACCCAGGTTCTAAAAGATCTCCTGAAATTTACCTCTGTCAGAAGCGAACGGAACAGCACATAAAATGACCATCATTTACGTTACCAAAGAATCACAATAAAGGTGGCTAAAACTTGAACTTGGAAGAACTGGTTTGTGGACCGGTTACTTTAATTGCATTACCAAGCCAGCATCCATGAATACAGTACCCTCCTTTATGGAGAAAGTGGCAATCCCTCATCGGGGTTCTTTGTGGATGACCTAACGACAAAAAACTGGAAATGTGATTTTAGCATCAAGATAATCACAGTTTAGTCAGCTTCAGTTATTTCGAGCACCGCCTAATTGAATTTACTAAATCACCCCGTAACCTCTGGAACCATAGGAATACCTATGCAAAATGACGTATGCGTACAATGATTTCCGATGCTCGTTGTTTTCCTATCCACATCCCAGGTGAACCCCAGTAAGAACATAAAAACAAGGCTTGTGTAATGTACATTCGCCCGTATCGCTGAGGCTGAAAGACTCATGTTTTTCGTACCAGATTGCCCATCTACTTCTAATCCACTGTTCATCTGTCGTCTGCTGAGGCGGTAACTTTACTGAGTCACAATCGGATATTTAGATTCAAACGTACTGGAACAGGAAATATGGGGTAGAAGTCATGGAATATGCGGTTGTTAATGCAGTACAAGCAACGTTCCGACCTTGTTTGTATTCCATCACTAGTCCCACTTATATTGACTGTTACGGTTGTTGATTCCCCTATTTCCACAGGTAATGATGATTTCCCACCAGTTCTCTTCGACCAATCATAATCCAACCATCTTCCACCAATTATCTTCCAACCAACTTCCACCAATCAGCTCCCAGAAATGTGCGTAATTATGGCAGACTCTATCTGTAGCGTAATCAGATATTAACAAGTTAGACGGTTTTGTGTTCGATATCGAACATGTAGATTTGCCCTCCATGTGAGGGAATCAATAAAATATGAAGAGAAATATTATCGAAATTGCCTTGCACTCATCGGTTGGCCATCAAGAAAATTGGGTAAAATTACTGCTTTTGCCTATTACTCGAAAAACTGCCTTGCAAATACCTGTTTGAAAAAATAGAATTGAGAATAGCCCCCTTCTGGAGTAGATTACTTCTGAACTCGAACCATATTCACAGAAAACGATCAAGAGTTAACGGTGATCAGCACTTCAGGTGTACACCCGAGAAAGTTGCAGAAGAATCGTCAACGCACGGTTGAGTTTGCTAGAAAAGCAACAGAAGGAGCATACTATTGTATTTTCTATTGGATTTCTTTAATGTTCCTCTGATGTCAAGAAAAAAAGTTTTGTTCACTGAAACCTGGTCGATCAAATCGTCACATAGAGCTAAACTGACTAACAGCACTGAGGCTAATCAGACAAATTCAAACAGAGGTAAAACCAAAATGCCAGCAACTAAACGTTGACCAGCGCCCATCTTACAACCAAAGTGTGATCCTCCCCCAACCGCTGTGATTTACGAAACACAAATCTAAGAATGTATGCAGACACAGGTCGAACCAGTATACTGCACTTAAGCCTGAACAAATGACAAATTCAGTAACTTTTAATCTCTGATACGCAACCTGGCTCAGTCCCATTAGAAAGAGAATAGTTTTTGGGAGGACATGGATCCATCTTAATCCTCGATGAGCTCCCTCCGGCCATACGATCGTGTCAAAGTTTTGTAGAAAGCTACTTCACCAGGTCATATTCTTGTACGCACCATCTTAGACTGTACGCACTCACTAATTAAAAAAAAGTTAATTAAGCACTGTTCCTCAATTATGCCGCCGATAAAATGTCTTTATCCATTCTGAGCATTGACACACTTGGACCACCACACTTGCCCGTTTCTTTAAAACCAGTTTTTTTGTCTTAATCGATGGAAAAATCTACACTAAAGTTTAATCCACAAGCGTGAAAAATTACCAAGTCTGTCTCAAATCACTCAGTACTTCGCGCAGGTTAAAGCGTCTTATGAGATCTCTGGCACAGTTGTAAAAAGTAGGCAAGTACTGTTCACTGTATTCACGAAGAGAGATTCAAACCCAGGATCTTTGTATTCCCATCCGTTCACCCAAGCGTTTTTCTCCGTTTACTGGGATGAGATGAGCCTTTTATAAATTGGATGAAACTTATCCCCCGCTTGTGTAAGACAGTATCTAGCAAACTTCAAACATAACCAAGGATCTGGTCCTCACTGCTAGCTTTTAACGGTTACTCTCAGGAACAATATTTTTCCTGAAAGGATGAACTTTGGAATATCGTGACATCGAGCTGCAAATAGAGCAAACAGATCGTTCCTTAAAAGATGTGAAAATCACTAGAATAGGATAGATAAGAACAAGAGATTGAAAGACAAGTTCTGTGCAATTCCCAATCTATTTGATTAATGATACTTCTGAGGCAGTTTTCATTATCAGTGAAGAATTCGTCGGTTTTGGCCACCGGTGAATCTTACCGGCATGGTTGTATTAACTTCGCAATGGTTATAAGCATTTGAACATTCCATGAACTTATACGAACCAGTATAAACATTTGGGTGAATTCAATGACGGGTTGGAAATATCGGATAACTCTCCGAGCATTCCAAATTGTCATACTGGCAAAAGAGAGAGGGAGACTTCTATAACGCAAACTGCATGCTCAGCGCTGTGCTGCGCTATCAATCAATGAAAAACAGGGCAAGCCAGAACATTTTAAGCCAGTTAGATCGAACTAGGGCGAATGATCGATTACCGTTTGGAAATTCCACAAAGACTTACCCCACACCAAAGTCATGTAATCAGTTGGCGTTCGGGCCCCATGTAGGGATGGAACTTTAAAAAGGTCGACGTAGAGGTAGAAAAGAAAAATAAAATTATGATTTAGATCGATAAAATTAACAAGATTTTGATCAGAACAGATAAACAAAGTTTGAAATTCTAACTTACGTCCGAGGGAATTGTGGGCTACGGGTTTTCGGACACACTCTGTGTCCTAATCAAAACGTTTAATGCAAAACAATTGGCAGACTAATTTGGTTTTACTGAGAGACCCAAACAAATCCACCCGAACATCTCCAGTTTATGAGACTGTTCTTCAACTCAGTGTGCTTCTTCATGTTTGATTCATGTTTCAGTTGGCACGTTATTCGAAATACCTCAGTATATGTTCTTGTCGAAGATCTTTTAACAACCTTATGGGTGCCATATATTACTACCTTGATTGCTGCTAAATTGTCGTGAGTAAACAAAGTGAAAACTTGAGGATGAATGAATTTCAAATGCTGGTTTCTGAAGAACGGACAACAAGTGTGTAACATTGACCTCAGGAAATGTTCAACTCCTGGTTACTCAATCACCTCAGAACATTTTAGGGTGGTTCATTCATTCTACTTCTTAAATCATCCGGGCTTTAATTGATGACAAACTGACTAGTCCGTTGACTTTGGTGTATTAAGCAGAGCGGTTGATTACCACAAGTTTGACCTGTTTCGCACTGCTTGTTAGCTGTGGTGTCTAGCCGTTTGTCTTGTTGTTGGCCACGGAATACGAAATCTGACCTCAGTCAATAAACCAGTAAACCAAGCGGTTGAATAATCGTGCAACTAATGTGCATGAGTGCTGGTCCGTGAACCCCCTGACTGTACAACAAATAGACGTTGACACCCAAACCAAAATCTAATTCATATAACGACAGATCCTTGACATCACTGGATCGCACACATGGGAACTGAACTCATTGTTTTCTGACTAAAAACTAGAACGGTAGTTGAAAACATATTGGCGGATGACTTAAAACATCCTTTTTGCGGTTCATGATGTAGACGTCTGCTCACATGTGTGGCGGTCACTCACTAGAAACACTGAATTCACTTAACACTTCCTGTCCCACTTGCAACCTTAGCCGACAAAATTTCCAATCCGTTTTTGTTAACGCGGCTCCCATCAAGGGCACGCGCCAGACTTACGACATTCGACTACATCAGGTCAAGTTGTATTCACGTTCGTGCAAGGATCAAACACGAAAGGGCACCCCTCTCTTCACACAGCAAGCAAAGAATAGGTACGCAACTCGGCCCAAGAACAATCTCGAGCGCACAGGATCAGAAGTGAAGCGAGTTCCAAAAGTCTCCGCGGACAACTACGAAACACGTGTAGCAGCTATAATGCAGAGAAAACACGCCCCGCGTCTGGAACTTCATTCAAAAACTCTCAACCATTTTCTTCAAACGATAAGTCAATTTTCGACTTATCCCTATCTTACATTGTGCACATAACTTCTGTAATCATCATCGTTCTGGTAAAAAAAAGACTTTTGTTAGTGCATGTCACCTGATAACCAACCTAATGACGTCACTAAAACACGCAAGCAAGAGCTTTGGAGAAGCAACCATAGTGAGTCGACCGGAAGAAGTTTACTTTATTGAATGTTCTCCTCAGAGGATAATATAAATAAAGTTGTTTCTCCCGTTTGCAAGTTGTGAATTAACTGAAACTTTCTGTGAAAAACCTCCTTTCAGTCATTGGGAAAGTGCGTTGTCATATTAACAGGCAGTAACTCGTGGATGACACGAATGAGTCAATGCTTAATTTGACGTTACTTGTAAATGTGATCTCACAACGCTTTAACCGCCTGGGTTTATCTGCCGTTTTTACTACTTTGTTTTCACATCAGAACCAATGTTTACTCCCGCTAATTAGATCATCCAGATCCGTTTGCACACCATTTGTATTGCTATACATGGGTAAAAGTGTCCGGTGGTTCAGCAACTTGTCAGAGATTAATTCATATAGGGCCACATTTTGACTGTACATAATATCGATAATAATCCATGTAGTTTTCGACAAATGAACTCATTTGCACAGCGATTTCGACTTCACGAGAGACTCAGCCGAGCCTCTCGTTCATGATATTCTCAAACGAAATGTCCCGCACAGAGGCCGCCTCACGCTTTAGTTGGTACGGTATTCAAAACATCGGTATTTATTTTTATAAAGGAAACTACTCACAAGCGACTGTGCCTACTTGATGAGCCTCAAGAAGCGCGAAGCCGATCATGGGTTGTCGAAGCGTTTTTAGCAACCTTGTGAGCAGTTTCACTTAAGAAAAATGCATGTAGGTTATTTATTTGTATTTTTCAGTTCTATCATCCCTTCAAAACCTGTGGAAGATTCACCACATACGCCAAGACTGAAAAGAAACCCGCGTCGTCCCACGTTGTAGGTCATAAAATATTTAATTTTGCTCCTAACTCATGATTATCCAATTTTGTAGCAGTATTTAGTTAGCTGATTGACACAAAGCCACGGCTTCTATTGACATCTACGTTCGGTCGAGGCTGAATAGGGCATCAACATCTGAAAGCTAGGAATGTAATTGGTGTAACGGTGATACTATTGATGGGGATGCGAGTAGTATGTTTTGCTCTTGTAAATCCGCGTCGCGTCTCTTGAAAAGTGAGATCTGTTGCGGAATTTGCGGAGTCGCTTTGTAGCATTTGCTTGGATTTGAGCAACAGTCAATGAATATCCATAAAATTCCAGGAAGGCACCTTCAAGGAAAGGATGGATATTCAGTTTTTGTAAACTAGATGCATATGAGAGTTTTGTTTCCCTGTCCAACGGTCTGTACTTGTTCAGTTGGCATTTTATGATAAATAACTCCGCAGCGAAGGCATTCTTTCTTTCGTTGGTATTTCCTTGATTTCCTGTTTTTTGCTTTGTTTTGGACACAACAAGTAACGTAGAGCAGAAGACTGAGGTATAGATCTGGCTGTCAGAAAAGAAATAACAGATTGACGCTCCTTGGATCAAGCAAACCCATCCTGCTTTCAGTTCAGTCCAAAAAGTATTTGATCTTCCTTACCATGTATCGATACCTGGTGTACTTCAGAGCGTTCCAGGGCTTTATCAACTGTGAATAGTGTTCACTTTCCATTGCACAATCTCTGTCATGTCCAGTTACGGTCGGTGACGCCAAGGAGTTCACTTTCCGCCCTCTAATTACTCACCTCCCTCCAAATTTCTCCTTTAAAACCCAAAGTTAGCAGAAGTCAAAGAGACAGTTGACTTTGTTCCTGATGTCGCTGGCACGTTAAAAAATTTGGTCTATTGATTGATTGGTTTACTGATTTTGAGGGCTGCTTGCAAACTGTCTTTTACAATACTCGACGCAACCTGGAAAATACATTGTATGCATACACATTGCATGCTTTTTCCAACTTATGTATGATGCGTTCCATAGCATAGAAAGCGCATCATATGTTTCCAGCAACGTGATTAAGGAGTAACGGCGAGAGATTTCGAAGATTAGAAAATTTAAAAAATTAGAATGACAAGGATCAACTCGTCAACTTTGGTGAAATTGCCTTCTGAACATTAGCAACTCAAGAATCACGGGCATTCCAATCAATCGTATGCACACACACAAACTATCTCTGAAGGAGCTTGCGAAAGTGCGCGTATTCTTGACCAGCTGTGGCCACACTTGGAAGCCCTTGGTAGACACTGCTCAAATAGATATCATTAGCAACTGAAACTTTTATGTACTGAGCACTGCATCTTGGTAGACCAAACAGATCAACCGCACAACAGGACAATAGCCAGTCCTCGGTTGTTGTAACTCACCCTGTTTTCTAGCGCTCTCTTGCAAAGTTTGCAAGCGGAATATCGATCAACAATGACTTTCTTCTACTATGGGCTCCGGATAAGTTATTTTGATTCCGATGCACCGATAGTCACTACAGTGGGGTCTAATCCCACCTAGCAACCGTGAGATATCTTCACCGACAGTCTAGGCGTCATAGCAATTTTAACGATTTGAGAAATATAAAGAGCCGATCGTATCAAACCAACCATTAGTATACAATGCAGATCGTTAATTGTCCAGCACACATCCTGTCGACTGGTTTTGAAAATAAACGCATGGGGTGTAAACTGTGCAAATATGCTTGACCAGTAAGATTTTTACCACAACTCGTAACTGGGTGTTGTTGGGGCGGGGTTGAGGATTGCCATTTCCAGAGAAGGTACGACAACGAAACTGAAGCATGTGTATGACATGAATTCATACTCCATTGAGAAGCAATGTGTGGTTTGCAAACTCAAACGTTTTACTTAATGACGTATATTTTGTGGTCCACTAGCCAGCTACTTTTGCATTCATGACAAACGCCTGTGCCTCTTAGTCATCTTTGTTTATCTAAACATTCAGTAGCTAGCAAAACTGCGAAATCATGCCCAATCGCTTGTCAGAAATGGGACAAAACTTTACACACTGTCCAGGTTGATTTCGTGAAGGTTGTATCATCTCGTTTCAGTATTTTCCAAGCAGTCTGAAGAACTTTATTCGTTGGCTCGAATGATACATAAACTTAGGTTGGTATTGTGATTTAATATTGTGGCATTTTGAAGCTGATCTATGCGGAAAAACCTAGAATCAGTGTACAACTTTTTGTCCTAATTACGGGTTTTCGAATCCGGACCTTTTCAGCCAGTTGCTTGAACAGCATAGATTGGCTTCACTCACAAGACGTAATCTCAGGTGCCAAATTTCCAAGCCCCCCCACACACCCACTACCAACAGTTGACAAGTAGCTCAGGGTAAGAATAAATCCACACGATGAATGTGAGAAATTGCCTCGTGCGCATCGAGAAAAGAAGCAACCACGTGATGTCGCTTCACTGATTGAGCATTGAATCAGTGACTGGCGAATGCCTAGTTTTGCGTTAATCGCACTGTTGATCAACCGTTCGCACAGCCAGGATTTCACCGCTTCAAAACAGCCTAGAGTTTCATGAGACGCACACAGTTGATGATTCCCAGAGATGATGAAACAGGTGTACAATGCCTTGATTAGGCTTTACTTAGACGATGACATCTCAACTGAACATAACGTTTTGTAGCTTCACTGCAGAAAGTGTCTACTGACGCATGAAATCAAGTGCGACCACTACGGTGATAGAGGTGTCAACTTTTTTCGAGGCCGTTCGGTTTTCTATTCACTACAACAGGGCCGTAGGATACTGAAGCTCTCAAAGTTTCCTACCTACCTATACCAGTTTATGCTGAGCTGCATGGATGTTTGCGAAAGGAGCTGTACTGTAGTTTCCCGCTCTTCAGTCTCAACAACCATCGCACATAGAATGAAGTTCTCGTGCATACACCGTTCGCATAGGGTATAAACTAACAGCAACGATTCAAAATTGAGCTCAATTGACAGAAACCAAATTCAAAGTGATTAGCAGGCAGCTATCTCGTCACCATGGTGATCACACGAGGATTTTCATGAAGTACAAAAAATGGAGACTCATGTGATGTTTTTATGGATCCACGTGGTAACAAGCAGAGAGAGATAGAAAAAAAAACAAAAAATCCATGGGTCAACCGATCCATATCGATTTTTGGGTGAACGGTGAAATTCGCCTGCCTAAATTAACACTGCTGACGGCTTTGCCATGTTAGATTATGGTTGTTCCTCTTACAATAAATTGTCTTGCTGTCTGTATAGCCGACTGTTTCAGTTATTTTGTTTGCTTATTCGTGACCAGGTGGATAAATATATAAAACGAGCTAGGCCGTAAGCATGGAACATGAAGAGAGCTGCATTATGACGTAATATAAATCTCCAAGAAGATTTGCTGCCAGTTGCTTATATCAACCTGACCGTTTACGACTAGTCAGAGTGGTCATAACGCAGCACAAAAACGCTATCCACATAAAGCAGAGATCTTTCATGGACATGGTCAATGCGCTCCTTTTGAGGGACCTCCGCCATTCGAGGGATTGAATTTCAGACTCGTCTACTATCATTTGGGTGACCCTAAACTACAATCGAAACACGACCGGCGAAAAACGGCCGGTGTTTCCAAAACCCAAGTGCCTTTGAAACAAAAAATCTGCTCTCGTATGATTCTCTGACAATTTTGTCGATCGTTATTGTGAATTGACTTACTTTGCTTGAATCCTCCTTATTGACCTTTGCGAAGTACATTCGCGGGATAATGATAGATATGAATCGATTGATTGACCTATGTTGGTCTTTTGGGGATCCGAGACATCTCAGTGGTTACAGGTCGAATTCACTGACCGGAAAGCCGGTGGTTTCGGCTCAACCCCTGCATCACGACTGCGCCTGTCTAAGCTTGGGCAACAGAGTGGTACCTCAGTCCTCGTGCTTCCTTCCGGTAGCGTGGCAGCTAAGCACCGGAAGGGTGTTACAAGTGAACATTTTAATCGGTAGTTTGCCATCTCCTCGATAGTCGGGAGATATCCAGCTGCAAGGGGATTAGCATATGCTTTATAGCCTTTTTAACCAGTTCACCGCACATTAGATTCCATCTTCGGGCAAATAAGCCAGAACGGCCAAACCTTTACTGTTTCGGCACATCTGGGTTGTTAGGATGAGGTCGGAAGCTACTCAATCAACTCAATAACCCAAAACCAAACAGGATTTTTCTGGAATCTACATTTAAAGCACAGTATCGCATAGTATCACACTGCTCTAAGAAGTATTCCTAGCGGCTCAAGGTTCCACACACAGTTATTCAAAATGTGCGCACTGTTTTGCTGTCAATCGAGCTAATGCTCGTGAACTGCTGCAGCCGTCAGCCCAACATCCCTTCGACCATCCGAGTCTCCGCCGATGAAAAAGGTGAGTACTCGGCAGTGACCAAACGACTGGAAGAGATAGTCCTTCATAGCCATGGCTAATAAAATCGTTATCTGCTTTGAATATCCAATCCGGTAACCTGGTCCACTTTTAGTGCAAACGTTGACGCAACCGAACCTATCTACTTCGAAGAGGCTGTTGTAATATCAGTTTCCCCAGCACTGTCAGTGGTTTAGCAAAGTTAACTTTCCAGGTTTCAATGCCTAGCGGCCAAAACTTACTTTACACCATTATCGAAAACGTTTGGTGACAATTGGTAGATTTACTGCCGAGCAACGATTAACTTTTGATATAAAAGCTTTGTCAGGCCAAGTGACTGGGTTCCGAGTTCGTATTACGAAATTCCTGACTTATGACTGAAATTGGCCCTTAGTGAGGGTTGCGGGGGGGAAGAAATTGTTAAACTATCATTTTTTGAGGACATTTGTTGGTCCCGGCCATTCATTGGATTGAAACGTAGCAGTCCTCTCAGAGGGTCCGAATTTCCAGGGAATATAATGTAGGGACCACCGAAGTTATTCACTCCCCGAGATACTCAGCTCTATTCTTGTCAGTTCGTGCACTCCGTGGGACGCCCTTTTAGAGCGGATGCCTAATAAAGCTTGGAATAATGGGAGAACTGTTCAAGTTTAATTGTCGTTTGAAGAATGAGATGCCATTTGTTAGACACTTTCTGTTTTAAGACAGTAATGCGACAAAAAACGTAAACAACTAAATTAAGCACCAGCTCACCTCCCAAAGCGGCCGGTTTTAAGTCTTGTCTCGATTCCTGTTGCTCGTCGTATCCATCTTCTGGCCGTTCGCCCAACCCTGAGGAACCGCCTTTCACAAGGCTCTCATCTAATTTACTCACACAATTTTCAGATTTCCCCAAAGGATGTTTGATTTGGTCTTGCTGGTCTGCTTCGTCCAGTGCATCTGAGGAGGCAGTGCTAGTCAGGTGTCGCTTCTGTATGACCGCAACTGATTCCGATTGGTCATAAATTTCGAAATAGTCAGATGAGGACTCGTGCAAACTAAACTGGTTGATGTCAGTCAACAGAGTATCATCAATAAACCCGTCATCCGTACTACCAGTTTGTCCAGCTAAACCACAATGCTGTAGGCACTGTGGCATACTGGCGTTCCACGTACGGCGCAAAGCATTGCGATACACAATCTGACCGCGTGGCTGTCCTGCTCCGGCTGGCGGATAAACAGGCGACCCAGCGTAATGACTGGAATAGTTTGGCCTACGACGTCCACGAGACCACCAAGAATTTCGGCCACGGCCCGGTCGGCGAATTCCGTTGTGGGAGAGAAGGCGGAAGTTCCCGTGATCCACCAAATTGTGATCAACTTCTGAAAGCAAAAGTTTGATTAATCCGATAAATTGGTTGTACACGATGAGAATACATGGAGTTTTTGATACCACTAAACTCCCCACTTCGAATAGACCACTTGGTGAGGTTGACTAATGTGAAAGTTAGTAGGGCTTTGTCCTCTCCGGTACAGTAGAGTTCAGCTGATAGAGCGGAGGTTGTGCGCCTTTCTCAACCATGCCATTGACTTATCTGAGGTAGTGTTTGTTCCCATAAAGTGAGGAAACCCCTCACAAACCTACAAGTGCAACTTTGATGATCAGCATGTCATCAATGTGGGGTTGATGGAAAGACGAAAAACCGAAGTGTTAGGAGTATACGGGATAAATAAC